ATATTAGAACCTCCCGACTATCTGGATCATCTGGGTTCTCGTTTGCATTTGGAGTATCTAAAACTAAAACTTGCAAAGGAAAGAATTATATTAATAATAAACTATGTTTAGTGAATAAAAAAAGTGAGGGGAGAGAAATTCTCCTATTCCATGAAATGTTAGGAGGGAAGATTTATTTTATTTTTAAACGGTGGTTTTTTTTTGGAAAGAAGTAAATACAATATTATTTTGTAAAGGATTTTCCTTAAAAAGAATTATTATAATAATTTAGAACTTTTTCATATGACACTTGATTCCTCTTACAAAATGTTACTTGAGACAACTTGTTTACATAATATGATGTATTTGAAAATGAAATATCAGATTGTATGTTATGATATTTATTTGGTCAACAACAACAACAAAAAATCAGATGGCATTATTTTCAAGCTGTAAATTTTTTGCCTGGCTGTAATTGTAAAATTGTCAAGTTTTCTTGATACTTAGAGCGCACAATGTAAATTTTGTTATTTTAGACTTTTAACCCAATCTTAAGGATCTTGTGAACACGAACATAAAGAAAACATGGCTTCAATTTTGATGGATGCATTCGCTCAGAAACTTTACTAGAGCAGTTTCTTTACACGAACGAGTCAATTTTATAGAGCTAATATGAGAGTGAAGTGCAAGTACTACATCTTGATTCTCTTAACAAAAGCCCTCAGTTAAAATAAAAAAAACTTATGCGTAAAGTCAAATGCATAAGATTTTAACACTGACATGCTTGAAGAATTCCAAGAAGTAAATGTGAGAAAACAAGAACTATGAAAGTTACAACACATTACATGTACTTTAGCCCAAACAAAAAGTGGTTAAATCTCGTCTGGAAACTGTATGTTCAATTCACGGCATTAATTTTGAAGTATTTATCTACACCATTTGGAGCAAAAACGTCTTGAAGTTGAGTGGGGCTATCTATAGTAGGGTTGTTAATCGGTTTGAATGGTGCGGTTAATAGGTGACACCGAACACCAAACCGATCTATTCTTTCGGTTTGGTTCGGTTTGCTTTTTCACTTATTTTTTCATAAACCAATTGTGTTCGGTTTGGTTTTTCTCTGGTTTATATCAGGTTTTTTCGGTTATTCTATAAAGAAAATAAGTCTAGAAAAGTAGAAAGTAGAAATGTCACATATTACATAACCGTTTCCGAAAAGAAAAGAAAAGAAAAAAAATGAAAAAGGGTAGCCCATAATGCCATATAACAATTTTCGAAAAGAAAAAAAAAGCGATGAAAAACTAGAATAGCAGAAACATATAGATGATAGATCAGCACTTCAGCAGCAAGCTCCATGACCAAAAATCCAAAAACCTACAAAAACAACCTTCATGCGACACATGTTTTCACAAACAATACACTTAATAAGATTGTGCAAAATCTGGTTCACAATTTCCTATAACATTGTATGCAATTAATATGATTCACTCATTCACATAACAATATATAGGTCTAAAATATGGTTCACATAACAATATAGCTTTACAAACCCAATAAATGTAAGGGACATACCAGCAAGTTAGCAACATCAAGCTTGGAAAGCACTCATGGCAGATTTTGGAGGCAACATGCTACCACTCGTAGCATCACTAGCTGAAGCTGAACAAGAAACTGAAGAAAGTATTTCCCATTCTACATGCAAACAAAATGTAAAGAGTTAATTAACATCATTATATTTCAAACAAATTTAGTGAACCAGTTCATTAGATACGAGTAGAAAACCAAAACATACCTCGCTCAACTTGTTCACACAGCTCCATATCCTCAATGGTTGGAGTTTCATGCAATGCAACATGAGTACTAGTGAGCCAATTTTGGGTCCAAATCAAAGCCTCCACCATTCTAGGACTCAATGAACTTCGAAACGGATTAATTACCCGGCCACTTGTGTTGAAGGAAGATTCTGAAGCTATAGTTGAAAGTGGAATAGCTAGAAGATCTTTTGCTACTCTAGCCAAAGTTGGATACTTCGCAGTTCCACTCACTCTCCACCAATCTAATATGTCAAATTTTTCATCATTTTCTCCTTCACACCTATCAGCTAGAAATTTATCCACATTATTTTGAACAATTCCAGCTTTTCTTGCTTTTCTTCTTTGTTCCTTTTCAGCCAACTTTCTTTCATAAGCAGATGTACACATATTCAAATAAGAAACATCAGGCTTCAAGCTTTGAGAATCAGAGGCAACACTTCCTAAATCCGTGACTCCTTCATTATCATAACTTCTATACAACTCATACAACAGATCCTTCACTTTCTTTTCATGTTGCTCCACCTTCACGTCAAACTTATCATACAACACTTCATAATAATCAACAAGCTTCTCCAATTTATGATGAGGATCAAGAACAACTGCTACAAATATATACGGGTTCACATTCTCCATCTTGTCCTAATATTTATCATACTTGTCTTGCATATGTTTTATAATACCAGAGAGCATTACATCACTACTTTCTTGCAACAGACCATAAATCTTAAGCAAATCACCAAAAGTAATATGGATTGTTGGAGAACTTGAGCAACACACATGCAAAATCATATCATAAAATGGTTTCAGAAAAATAGCAAAGTCTTCTGCTGAAACCCAATCACTTGCCTCAGGTGGCCCATTTTTTAATTCACCTTGAAAATATCTCACATAGTGACCGTCATCCTCTTTCAACCTATCAAATGCTTTTCTGAACTTTATAGCTAACCGCAACATCAAAAAAGTCGAATTCCATCTGGTGGAAACATCCATGATCACAAGCACTTTACTCTCAATTTTGACATTTTCAATACACTTCTTAAATATGTCCAGCCTTTGAGGGGAAGATCTTACATACCTAACAGCATTACGAATACTTTGGATACAATCATTCATTACATCAAGGCCATCATTCACAATTAAATTTAGAATATGAGCAACACACCTCATATGCAAATTCTCCCCTCCCTGCAAAAGTACATTAGGGGTTTCCACTCCCCTATTCTCTTTATCAAATCCTTTAATGCAGCATCATTAGCAGATGCATTATCAACTGTTATGGTGAGAATCTTTCTTATTTCCCACTCTATCAGACACTCTTCTAAAAGCCTAGCAATGGACTCCCCTTTATGGTTTGGAATAACACAGAAATTCAACATTTTCTTATGTAAAATCCAATCATCAACAAAATGAGAAGTAAGGACCATGTAATTTATATTTTGAATAGATGTCCAAGTATCCGTTGTTAGGCTGACCCTCTTCCCCTTTAAAGCATCCTTAAGAATTTTCTTTTCAGACTTGTACATACTTAACACATGTTTTGCAATTGTCTGACTTTAAAGCATCCTTAAGAATTTTCTTTTCAGACTTGTACATACTTAACACATGTTTTGCAATTGTCTGACGACAAGGAATAACCCAATAAGGACAAGCCGTTTTGCAATTGTCTGACGACAAGGAATAACCCAATAAGGACAAGCCCTCTTACAGAAATACTTAAACCTCTCTCCCTCAACAAACCTAAAAGGCAGCTCATCCACTACTATCATATGAACACAACCCTCAGTTATCCCCTGCTGAGAACACCCAACAGCTTTCAACTCTCCATTGTTTTTAAAAACTAATATTTTCTGCCTCCCTTTATTTAATATCTCAACATTTTGGGGGTATCTCTTGCAGATTTTCACATGACTAAGAAGGGATGAGGTACCATTTGATCTAGGATCAGCTAATATCTCTTTTTTACAATAGTTACAAGCCTCTTTAACTCTACCATTCACCATTTTTCTAGTAAAGTGAGACCAAGCTTCTGACCTTTCATTGTTCTTCATATCTTCCAAAATCTCCTCCTCAGTCCTTGTATCTACGTCATCCTCTAAATCAACATTTTGAGGTGGAGCTACAGCAGATGTTGCTTTAGATGGTGTGGATGACTCACCATAACTAAAATGGGGCTGCAAAGAACGATGTAATGAATCTGGAGTTAGTAAACAACATAAACAAAAAACAACATAAGTCTTTAGTTACATCAATCAGATCGACCTAAAGAACTTAGAACAAATTAACAAAAGATTGATATTAAGATCGACCTAAAGAACTTAGAACAAATTAACAAACGTGAGAATTCTGAGATGCAGATGCAATATTAAAAACATGTCTTGTTGGGAGCCTTGAGTTCCCACGAGATCTCTTCATACTGAAAGATCTGGATTCTGGAGTAGATAGTTGGAGTCTTGGACTCTTGGAGAGTGGAGACGGCGAAAGGGGAGTTCAGAGTTGAGACATTTGAGTTAGTTGGAGTCTTACCCTAATATAGTAATGTTGGAACGCAAGGCCAAGGCCATCCCTTTTTTTGGGCTTCATTTAAGCCCAACTTTCTACATAAAACTTTATGTATATTAATAATATATATCTATAAATAATATAATTTCCTTACAATATATATAATCGCTTTTTCGGTTCGGGTTCGGTTTCCAGACATCCGAAACCAAAACCACACCAAACCTTTCGGTTTCGGTTTCCAGACATCCGAAACCAAAACCACACCAAACCTTTCGGTTTTTGGTTATTTCTTTGCGGTTTGGTGCAGTTTTTTTGTTTCCTAGGTTTTTTCGGTTATGGTTCGGCTTTGGTGTGGTTATTTTTCGGTTATCGGTTCAGTTACAGCCCTAATCTACACCAGCACAACACCCCCAAAGCCTAGAGGTTTTACTCAAATTAAAATAGTTGAATGGTTTTTCTCCAACACCCCTAATTTTTCAGGTTTTTTTTTTTAAAATGTTAACAGAAGCCATAAGAAGTGACTTGTAGCTCAGTAGCTGACACATCTGAACCCAGCCTGCTAAATTCCCCACTTGGGTCGGGCAATTTTCTTTATTTATTTATTTATTTTCCTTTTTTTTCATGTTGCGGACATCGCTCGCAACCCGACGACCAAACTTTACTTCAAAATTACACTTCGATCAGAAACTATTAATTATAATTTAATAATTTAATTAATTAAAAATAAACCTCCTCTCTCCTTCATTTCTCACCCCTTTTCCCTCGCTTGGATCCGAAGCCTCAATTCCCTTAAATCCTTAATTTCATTCCTCTTCACTTTAATGGGTTATTCAATTCGATTCAAAATGAATCGTGTTTGATGAATGCAGTGTTTTTTTTGACCTGACCCATTACAAAGCCCAAAAGGTGTTTTGAGTTGCCGTGATTTTTTCCCACCCGATCCCCTTTTCGCCCCTCCAACCCTAACAGCTCGTCGCCGCAGCCGCCTCCGCGTCGCCAGCATCTCCGACTCATCGCTGCCCTCCGAGTAGCCGCCACCTCCGATTCCGAGCAAGGTATCTTCTGTCTGATGGGTTTGGTGAATTTTTATGTTTTTATTGATAATGTTTTCATTAATAAGATCATGGTTATATTGATAGATTGGTCTTAATTGATGTAATCTTGCATCTAATTAGCTATTTTGATTAGTGGGATTCTTCTGCAACTCCGCAATAAATCACCTGATGCTGTCAAAATCCTTCTTTTTTTGATAATTTTTTGCTCAGCATTTAAGCTTTTTAACCATTTATTTGGTTGTGAGAAAAAGATGGATTCTCTGGTACCTAATTGTGGATTGTGAAGGTCAAAAATTAGCTTTTTTTGAACCTTTTTTTAAAAACTTCACTCCATCTTTCTTGTTGGTTCAGTTTCTTGTTGATTAACCACTTCTGAATCATGTTAATTCACCAGTTTTATTTTTTATTTCATTAATTACGGAGGGGTTTATGACGGTAATTTTGGTAGTTACCTTAAATTGTCAGCTAGTTCTCTATAACTTGAAAGGGGATCCAGAACTTGAAAGGGGATCCAGAAGCTTGTTGTGATTGAAAATGTTAAAAGCATCAGTAGTTATCCTGGAATCAATATGAGCAACTCTGACTCAGATTCCTATTAAATTGTTTAACGGAAACTTTCTGACTTGTGTAACATATTTTGTAGTTGAGGATTTCATCTTTCTGACTCAGCCCTTGTTCTTGCGTATGCATAAACTCCTGAATTCATTATAGATCTGAGCTATGCAAAGGACAATATTAACAATTTCAAATTTTATAGTTCCCATGAACATAATGATATATGATCAACACATCTGTTTGAAACTTTAAGCTCAGATTATTATATATAAATTTGAAGCATAGCTAGAGATTGTACAAGAGTATAGCTGCCATATCTTGTTGACTAGTTGTTAATTATCACACTTCATGTAATTGATGAAGATGTCATATTAATATGTCATGTTCTTATAATCCGTAACAAGGAATAATGTACATTCAACCAAGTGTGTTATATGTATGCATGTTCTTGAATTATACTCTCCTATTTGATTTGCATATGAACATAGCCCTAATTTGTGTTATGAACTTTTGCCCTAATTTGTGTCAATTTCATCCTTGCCCTAATTTGATTCTAATTATACTCTCCTAATTGATTTGCCTTTTCGGTTTCATGTTGTTGTGAATGTAAAAGATGTCAAGTGAAAATCGTGATGTCAACGAAGTATATTAGAATCTTTTTTTTTAAAAAAATTTGAGTTATAGGCATTGAAAAAAAACTCTCGAATGGTCGTTGGCTGCCGACCGG